AGGTCTGGGACCAAAAGACAGACCAGAAAGAATCTTTTTTCATTCTCTGATCGGAATCCACCATTCGAAAAGATTGACCAAGAGAAAATCGAGTTGAATGGGTAGTAGAGGAAAGAGGAATTTTCACGTCGCCACATCGCTTGTCCGACTATAACTCCTTACTCATAAAAGGTGTCCTTACCCGGGTCTTGCGGTCACTGTATGAATGGCCCACGTTCATGCTATGAATCATCTCATGCGTTAGCACCGACGAAAAGATCAACTTCGGCGTCAGCAGTACACCTAAATCATGAGTTCATTGATAAATATAGATAATGGCCTGTAGAACCTTTTAGCATTAGGGATTCCAAAAGAGATCTTTCAATTGTTATTTTTCAACATTCTCAAACAGTTACTATCAACGTTGAATTTATTTTTTATTGGAAGCCTACAGAATGCCCAGACTCCCACAAGGCCCCATAATGGGCAACGACCACAGTAATCCTCTCCACGTCTGACATCGCTGATAACCCTCCAATTCCTTACCCATTTCAGAAATGTCGAATCGGCACGCTTTCGCAATAAGCCCCACTAGAACGTTAGAGCCCCGATTACTCCCGCGAAGGTGCCTGTTGGCTACAGTAAGTTTCACTTCATCCTTTCTATAGAGGAGTTAATTGGAAGGACTAACCTGTATCCTTGCCAAATACTGCTGTGTTCTCCGTATTGATAATTGTGATTTTCTTCTTATGCAGTACAAAACCACTTTGTTCAGCAAACGAAATGCACAGCTGCTTCGTTTTGTCGAACATCTAAACATCTGGCAAGTTCAAGCATTGTAATTAATTCGCTTCGAAATGTCTTAGTTGTCAAGAGGCGGAAGTATTTAATCTTTACGATTGGCTTCAGGGCCCTGCTTCCAGGTGTTACAGAAACCAGTTCGTCGACATAGGGAACTGGGTGAACTCGGATAGCCTGGGCGCGGTTTAGGAAGGACTATGGCTGTGATGGCGGTTCCACCTGTCCATGCTCACGCTCCCCTCTGGGTATTAAGGCAAGTGGACAGCAAAACGATAGTATAAATCAGTTCTTTCTCATTAGGCTACCTTTGGCAAAAAATTATTTAGGAGCGTACAGAAGCCAATAGTTCACAGTCCCGTCTGAGAGCTTAATTCACGGCGTATACAACATGATCATTGGTTACTCACAAGATTTTTGAAAAAATCACGCAAGCAAAGCTAAGTCACTGGCGCAAAATTCAGATAGGACGTCGCACTATAAGCACAACACTTACAGCAAAAGGCCGCTCTCGTACGGACTGCAACCGTGGATCCAACATGGCCATACGTAGCACTTCTCGTCGCCTCCATGGGAGTCGAATCCATCTGGTAACGTTTGAGCCTTTGATCGTGTATATTGCATTTGATACTGATGAAAAGTAGCTTTCTATTGTATCTGAAATAAGTCCTTACAAACTCACTTTTCCAAGGTAATTGAATGGTTAAAGACAGACAAAGATAGACTCTCTGTGAAGAATAACTCCGTTCTCGGGAAGAATAACTTGAATCGAACCAAGATCGACCTTACCTGGATTATTCCCACCCGAAATCCACTCGGAGAACCACTCAGATGTACGAGGTTCATAATCGTAGTCTCTGAATTTGCATAGAATCAATGACCACGGTTCGTTGCCTCGTCGTGGGATCGCCTTCGTCACCGGTGCTGTGAGCAGCACGGCGAGCACAAGCAGATCCACTATCATGACATTCTCACGACGATGGCATTCTGAAATTGATGTTCGTACATTGGGAACGCTATCATGCAGAATCGATCTCGCAAATACATAGCTTAGGAGGCTTGCAATTAAGTTACGCTCGATATCAGGAGTATCTTCCCTAAGTGGGAATGAAGTTTGAATGGAAATTACTGAACTGAAGCCCTTCTCCACGTCTGAGCCAGACTTCAGCTACCAACTCGAGAACGTGGTGTATTGTGTTCCCGGTCAAAGGCAGAGTTCGCGAAAAATTCAATTGCGTTTATAAATTTCAGAAGCAGAACTTCGAAGCAGTACACTCATTTGGGAATGAAGAGAACGAGAAAAGCCGTGGAAAACTCGAAATGCTAGACCCCTCCTGAAATAGTTATTTCTAATGATGGACGAGTTTATGTCGGCGAAAGAAATGCTTGAACGAGATTTCATTCGCTACAGAGCAGGGTGGGTTGGCTATTAGCGGGTATTTGTTGACTGAATTTATTAATACAAGAAATAAGCCCCATTTTAAACATTTCCAGCCTCTAGAATGCCCCTGAACACGTCCTTTTAATGGAAATATTCAACGGCGGTGGCAGCGCAGCCGGTTTTCAAGCCGTTATTGCGCTTTATCTAGGCCGCTTTTCGGGCCGACATTGCCCCATATGACCTTTTGGTCATAGATACCAACCAGTAAATAAAACTGTTGATCCTGTCGGGAACTGTACTTTCTAGGAGAAATTGCGATCGGAACATGACAAGGAACAGAATAAATGACGAAATTAGCAATAGCAGCGAAAGAAGCCAATCCATAACAGTCATTGAGTGGGACCATTCGGGAAAGAACAAGGGTGCAACAGCGGAAGCATACGAGTGAATGCCGAGACATACACATTTATCAATCCTGCCCCAAAGCGCCCCTTCCTATGAGATCGATCATTATTTTAAACTTCTGGGTTTACAACATTTTCTCAACCTTGAAAGCTCAATCAAAAAAATTGAATACCTTTTGATGAAACAAATTACGGCTATGTCTTTCAAAAACACCAACCGCTTGGGAAGCATTGCAATCCCACAATATCACATACTCGTTATTCTGGAGTTAGGACATGATTCGTAAGAGTCATGAATATGTTGGAATATTTCTTACAATAATAATAATATAAAAAGTAATATCTATACTGCTCCTGAGCTTTATATCACGTAATCTGTAACAAAGTAGAAAGAGAGCAGGAAGGAATAGACAGGGAGCTTATCATGAGTAGAGGGCTTTTCTCCAACTAGCCATCGGGAAGTCAAACATTGCTGAACTGTTGCTATTAAGAAATTAGCACTTATAAGGCCACTCATAAACGTCGTCCGGGTGCAACAATTCATGTCGCCGGCTTCTTCAGCGCTGTTTTCACACCCTCCATTAGTGACGATACGATCTATGGGTGGAATCCCATAAGCGTAAACTTTTCGGATTATAAATCTCCTCTTAAGGAACAGGTCTGCACTCTAATGTGTGTGGGCTTGTGATGACAAATTAATTGTTCTTCACATAGGGCTTGGCAAGATTGAACTGATTCATGTTCAAAACTTAGAGCTGGGCATATTTTTCGTTCCTAAGTGCACATCCCTTTGAGACTGATTCGAAAACTCCTATTCAGAACATATGTGTAGAAAACAATTATTCAGCAAAGGCCAAAGTAGAGTGTGCCAAGCACTTTGCTTACATTCAGGACCGCAGCAGCGATTGAATTACAACGTGGTCTGGATATGACAAGAGGGTCCACCTCGGTCCACCTATCTGACAATTAGGTGTTTACATTTTCCAGCACCTTGCGATTGTCTGATTCCAAGGGAACTAACGGCTGTTTTAAGAGAGGCTCGAATCTGGGATTCATCCTGTTTCTACACACCATACCATAGTACCTGATAAACCCAAAAATCCACTCGTTATGAGGTAAATACAAGAACGAAAGTAAAGGCAGAACAGAACTTTTAATAAGTCAATTCGTAGTAAAAAAAATCAGTCGCGACATACGAACATATGGAAAATCACGAGGCAACATTGTTACGATGGCGCGAAATCTCGTTTTCTTCACTTTCTGGCTTTGATGAAATGATGACGTGCAAATGGATAACGGCACTTTGGGAAGTGAAAAAGCTGATAAGTGGTCGCCGCCAGATTGTTTCATGTTCATGTTCCCTTAGAAGGAAACAGGCACTAACCATATAATGGGGATCGTAAGAAAATATCCTACACCAACTTTTCATGAAGGCCGGATGTTTAGACCGGTGTTTATAAGCTCGCAGACGATTGCTACAATGCTAAACAGACCTTAAACGGTTTACGATTGCAGTCAGCCCAGGTGAGTTCGGGTTACCGGAACGCAGATGGGTGCCTCAATCCATAGCACCACCTCAACTGAATGGAGACTGTTCTGCGACTGCAGGAAACTCTTCAGTTGCTGTTTTTTGATAATGGCAACATTACAGTGGTACTTATTGCTCATAAAAAGTTTTGAGTGAATTTACTGAATGCCGGGTCTGGAGAGTTTGTGAGCAGTTCGTTCCTCAGCCCAGGATTCCTAGATAGGGTACTTTCCCGAGCGCTCTTGGAGTCAATACCGAGATCGCTTTCGAGATTCTCACGATTTCGGATAGGAAATTAAAGCACCCTGAAATAAGCATTTCATGGGGTGGTACTTGAAGTGATAAGCAATGAATACTATGCCTGGTACTACCAGTACATCTGCTACAACCCAGAAATATTCGCTTTGTGGCCTCTTTTGAGTCGGATGAATGGATGATAGGCTGCAGGTAAGTTGTTAAGAAGAGTCTGAGAAATTTCCAAGAACGGTGCCTGAATCTAGACAAAATGGGTAAGTTCAGGAAGAAAAAATAGGAATGAAAAGTAAAATAGGGAAGGAATATTTGTAAATATAACAAAAAATCAAGCAAAAACGGAGAAACAGGCATGCAAAGTGACGAAGAATTGGAATCCACCAGGAATCAGGGATCCGAGTAATAAAGCTCATCGTAATCGGTTAGCAAAATAGCAGTCGCAGTCACTGAACCAGTATGAGAAGGGTTGAAGGCAGGCGTATAACGGGATCCCATCGCTCTTACCCGAACGAAGACTAGACCCATAAACAAAGCAGTGCAACGTGTATACATCGATTCACGACACGGTATCAGGCGATCAGATCAGCCGAAGATATACGTCTAGATGAACGGTAAGGTGATTTATGCAACACCGAGATGCCTGTTCACTTCGGTTTCCAAAGGCAGTTTATCGGCGGAAAAAGGAAGAGATAGTCGGACATGGTCCAGAAAACGCAACAAAAATGGACATTCGCATAAACTCGAAGATTCACAACCATAGATCAATCAATCACTGATTCCTCTGGTAGTAGCTCAGAGGGTAGCTGGATAGATGCACCTCCATTTTCGAGACAGTACATTCTTTGGGTAAAGCTACCATGGCAAAGCCAGTTCGATGATACCTGTTGTAGAAGATTATACGTTGAGCTTTCCATGGCTTTGACGTGCCTAACCAATCGGGAAGTTAGTTGGTTCTAAAAGTAGTGGTTAGTATAATAGAGAATGGACAGCGTCGAAAAGAACGCTTGCTAAACGAGTTCCTGTCAGTTATGAAGGTGAGCTCCTGTAATCACTGTTCAATCACTTGGGATACGCCACGCACTTTATTTTGATCATAATCATATACGGTTCAAGTGCGGGGTTAGCTAGCATTCAGCTCCGTGAAGATCAGTAATACACTCAACCTCACAGGAATTACCAGAACCTGAAGAAATCAAGGTGTCGTTCGAACCCCTCGATGTTTGAATTGACACTTTGGATACGTACTTCGATTAATCAGTTTCAATGTCACCGGGAAACTGAAGCTTCTAACATAAATGGAGCAGCTGAATAGGAAAGATTCCTGGATAGGAAGCCTATAAAATGTTATTATATCTTACAAAGAGACGTTCTTAGGATACGATAACGATCTCCGATGGCATCTTATTAGAAGCGCCCGGATAGAACCTGCTTGAGGAACGGGGTAATGGGCTTACTGAATATTCCTAGTTATAGCTTGGAAAATTTCTTTATAACACATAAGTTCTGCTCCATTAGTTTGTTTATTTACTCAGACATCTACTCATTGAGCTACTACTTCATTGTTTTATCTATTTACTTAATTACTTACCTACTTTTTGAAGAAAGATCGAATGAACGCTAGAAAGTGATTGATCACTATTGTCATCAGAGATATGCCGAATCTGATTCAGGAAGCTATGGTATCAAACCAGTCCAAGGGGCTTACCAGTCTAAGAATGATCCCTGCATGGCATCGTCTGCATACAATTCTCTCCTTTTTCTTTTGCCAAAAAAAAATCTAGTAAGAGGGAGACAAAATTAGAGTCGGTCGATTTTGTATAGGTAGCTAGTGATAAACAGTTGTAATCATTTGTACCATACAGTGATTTGGAAGTGGAAGACTATTTTTCATAGTTATTCAGTCCACAAGCAGCTAAACAGCACAGAGAAATTTTATGTACGTCTTGAGATAGCTAAAATGAAATGAGACTACTCGAAAGCATTAACCTCGTTTTTCTGGGTGTGCCTTTTGACGGTCTCGTATAGAATAGGTCATCTACTTTGAATATATGGGTTAGTGAATAGTCAATCAACGAAGTCTGTCCTCCTGCACGATTCACTCAAAGGGTTGGGAGGGAGGACATAGGATGAGGACGAACTCATGGTCAGATCGAACGATCAGGTGACCTGTACACAACGTGAATAAATAAATAAAATTAGTGAATAGTAAGATGAAAAAATATATTCCTTCCAGACTATTGGAGACCATATTTTAGTGTTTTTTTTTTAGGTTTAATGACTATCTGGTTGCTATTGTTTATAGCCATCCTGAAGGCGGATTTGTTATCTATGAGAGGGGTAGTGCTCGAAGGTCAAGAGAAGCATGCTGTTCAGTCAAACCTTGGCCAGGTATCTCAGTAATTAATAAGACAAAAACCCTCTTATCCTCTCTCTGCGACTTCTCTCCGTTGGTAGATGTTCACTTAAGCAACTCTTCCGTTTCGCTTAGAACTCGACTGGTGCATTTTCGAGTGATGGACAGCGAATAATTTATTTTCACATCCTGTCAAGCAGTAATAGTTCATATTCCGAAATGTCTGGGAGATTTGAGGTCTGGCCAGTTTGGAATGCAATCGGTTTCGAAACCTGACACATGAATTATTGTGAACGAATGGGAATAACCGTCACCGACGGAAAAAGCCGACTCATAGAGAACCTGCTTGGCATCTTCAGCGGCTGAAAAGACGGCCTTAGAGTACCTATAGACTACATAGTTAGGAATAAGTCAAACTCCCGGTAACGAATCCAACGACTCAGAAAGCTTCCGTCAAGGCTAGCCAAAAAGCAACTGCAAGTTTATAACCATGGCCCTACCAACGCTGTATGAAAAAGTGCCTGCTGAATCAGTGCATGGCGCATTCGCTGATGTGAAGTTTGAGAAGACCAAATCAACAATATAGATTACGGTAACACAGGTAGTTGGGGTGATCGAAGGCCATGTGAATTATGACTTATTTATTTGTCTTTTGTTAGTATCTAAGAGGTTCCTAGGCAAGAAATAAACCATTCAAACCATTCACCGTATGAAAGTCATCAAAGGAGGATGGCGATTGTTGATGCACCCATAGAAACGACCCAAACAATACCGAAAGAAAAAGTATTTGCTGATAAGCTTGCCGGATAGAAGGTAGGTTCCCCAAATCAGTGGACTTTGAAATACAAGGTAAGGAATAGAAGGCCATACACAAGCCGTGGGGGATAACGCTTTCAGGAAAACGAACGGGTTTTTGATTTGACGAACATAAGACATAATAAGATAGGAACGTTTGCAAGACCTTAATCTAGCGTTGCAATTCTCCGCTACTGTGGTCTCCGCCTTCCCAACGGTCAGCCGATTCAGGTTTCGCTATCGAGTACAAAGACTTTCGTAACCAGTTTTTAGTCGTTTCTTACGCAAGAGAAGTGATTGTTCAGGATGAGAAAAAGCGTTAATAACCATGAGATATAACATAGAAACTTGTTTCAGTTGCACGGATATCATCTGCATTCCATAGCTGCTGTCATGACTTACGCAGAGAACGCAACCCGTAATGATATCGTAATCCCCCATTTTCCTTCAGCATTGAGCAATTGGCTTGTATTACAGAATCACTAATTTCTGCCATGTCTAGCCCTGAAACCCAATGCTTGCATATGACTAATAGGGTTACAATTGCTTTAAGATGCTGAATAGATAACGGATGCATGGCCTATCCCTCACAGGGTTGTCATAGCCCAGTTTCTGGAATACGTCCATGTTTGTGTAGGTCCATTATGAACCTGACGTGATAAGACGTGTCAGCTCTTCATAATCCAATGTATATGGGCGGTGCACCCCACGTGTGGGCGGGGCTATCCGGTAGCATTATTGTTGCGAGCGCCTCAACTGTCCGCAGAAGACAATATCATGTAACTAACTGCCAGATACTTTCCCTGCATGCTCTGCCTTTAATTTAGTGAGAAATGAATGGTATCAGTGGCCCAGTCTATGGAAGGAGGATGGAAATGGGTTACCGTATAATATAGTTTCGAGGTTTTAATAAAGTGATGCCTTCATGAAGTTGAAACGAGCAGGTGCGACTTATGACGGTGCCGAGACATATGTGAAACTTTCAGTCTCGTACAGGTTTATTACTCGACCCTTTTCTTTTAGGACATGAAGCTCATCGCCTCCGCTCGCTACAAAGAGTTCTTCAGCTTCCCACTAGCCTCCTTGTGTGTAGTATCCAACATTGAACAAAGTCAACCAGAACAACTCGGAGTGGGGAAGGTGGAGGTGCCGGTAGATGGGAGATGTTTGATCCAACCACTCATCGAACCGTCTCCCCACGGCAATTTTAACTCATTCTGAACCTTCACTCTTACCTAACTGTCAACACACATGTCTTCACCCCCACTGGTAATATTTTTTAAATCCTCTCCTTTCTAATGCAAAAATTTTGCGCGTAAGATTGAATGCAAGTCTGTGGTCCGCGTTATTTGACGGCTATTTTACAATTATGGTGGGAAGAGCCGTGTTCAGTGCTTTTCGTCCTTTTTTTCCTTTTTTTTAAACATATTTATGATGGGTTTGTTTGGTTATCTCAGAGAGTTGCTATAGGAACAGTGAGTAGGCCGTTCTTCCAGCCAACAAGCATAGAAACCAGCGAATTGCATGTAGTTCTTTTTTTTCAAAAAAATCACAAATGTAGAAAGTATGTAGATTAGAGTGAATGATGTATCTTAGCGATTCGCGTATTTTTTTCTGAAGAAAGGTACAGATTTGCTCACTTCCGCCCATAGGTTTTCTTGACTATAGATCGTGAAGAAGTTTACGATAACGAATCTAAATTTTAAGGTTTTTCACGCATTATCGTTTTCGTGCTTACTTGGTAGGCTTTCGAGCTTTTTTCTGGGTAGCATTATTGTCGCTTCTATTTCTTGTTTACATATTCGTCGATAGATAAACGTTTTCTCATGGTTGACAGTCTTGCTGTTGCTCACCCAAGGGCTAAAAAATCAGAAAAGCGTTTACACTACAACATTGCTCTGTTTTTTTCCCAGAATATTTTATTCCCTATTGAAGGGTATTCATCAAATTACACTACTTTTGTGTGAATCAATTTTCCTTATGCTGTTTATGTGCATGGCAATTTCCCATATGTTTACAGAGTGTCCACTTGGGTATCACGAAGTACGGGTGTAGCAGCATAGTCTTTTAGTCGATCGTTTCATCGTATGGCTTTATACCCACAGAATGCAGTTTTCATTAATAGGAGAAGCGATGTCTCCACACCGTCGATGACGGTGGATCCCTCGGGGTACGCAAAGATCTCTGAAAAAGGTCTTGCTTCAGGTTTGTGCTTTTCTGGCTTGTTTTTGCTGCATGACTACTTTTACAAGTCCTTTTTGTCATGAAGTTCTTGATCTTCTCCAGTTTTGTGTCGATACTGAATTCATTCCGAAATTTGAATGTCTGTATTACTTTTCATTTATTTCGAGAAGTAGCGAACATCCGTTATCCACATAACTTTTGGGTGCATTGAGCCTGGTCATGGGCTCGCGACCCGAATCTTCTTCAAAATGCGATCAATGGAATACTCTGTGATCTGTCATGCGATCTGATATCGGTTTATGCATGATCCGGGTCGTTTTATACACGAAAGCGTTACTTTTTGGCTAGGTGTAGCTGGTGTTACGTACATTTCACCTTTGAAATTTATTTTGAGGCCGCAAAATCAAACTGGACACACCAGAGAGTGAATTCAATGAAGAGCTAGATGCGTATGCAAATCTTCTCGAAGATGAAGCTGTAGGATCTTCACCAGCTGCGCCAGTACGTCCAATACCGCTAGGAATTGAAGCCAAGTATGTTTAATATTCTCTTATGCTGGGAAATTTCAAGCCATCTCTGTTTGCTTTCCAGAAGTGATGGTGAAATTCCACCTGAAGTATGGCCAGAAGATGACCCTTATGAGCAAGTAATACGGCAATCAGTAGCAGCAATCTGTTCATCGGTTGGATTTGATGCAATCGATGCGAATATTTTGGAAACTTTGGCGCAGCGCTTAAAAAACTGTAAGTTCTTCACATCTCCGTAGTTACTCTAGTTCAAAATTTTCTTCTAGATGTGTGTTCCATCAGCTTGGGTGCAAAACTACACTGTGAGGTAGCTGGTCGAACGGTTCCCATTGCTACAGATGTATGGTTAGCTTTAGCGGATATAGGGCATAAGGTCGATCAGCTACCGGGATATCTCCGCCATCTCCGTGTCACAGGGACGATCGCTATTGCTCCACGTATGCTTTCCGTTATGTCTTTTTCTAATTACGAGTTTTTAACATTTCGAATGCACTTGGTAGTTATTGTGATTGCTGCAGCTAATTACATGCAACTTACGCCAATATCACTTCTCTTCATTCAGCTCGCGAACGTCAAGAACCGCCACTTCTGCCACCTATGCTCGTTGGACAGTCTCGTCCGCATCCTCCTTATGTACATGAATTTTTTCCGCCTTTTCCAGAACCACATACCTATATCCATACTGAGGTAAGTACTCCATTCTGATATTATAAGTCTATTTTGCGGTTGAATAACGCATGAGAAGTGTTTTCCTTTCTCGTTGTAATCAATTTAGTAAGAACGCAGTAAAACTATAGAGTAAAACCGTAATTTAAGGTAGTAGCAGGCTTTGTAGTGGTTTGAAACATTTGTTTCCTTAATTTCAGATTTCGGGAGAGCCAGATTTGACATACGAGGCAGTTAGAAAAACAGCAGCTCAACGTAGGAGAGAAATGGAACGGTCTCTTATCAACTATATGATGTGCATGCACCCTCACACAACTTTGTTCCCGCAGTTCGAGTCGAAAATACGAAATGAGGCAAAGCAATACGTGAGTTGTTATAATTGGTCATATGGTTCCCCCTATACTTTTCTACATATTCTAAACTATGAATTCGTAGTCATTTGGCTTGGTTTCTTCTTGATAATGTGCAAGTACACAACTGGTCTGCTAATAACAAGCCCTAAACCATATGAGTATGTTCGATTGAGGGAAAAGCTTGCCTTGTTGAGTTTTAATTGCTACAGTTCACTATTCGATTTCACCGAGTGTAGTGAAGTTGAAAGTTCCTCGTCATATGCTTGCCCTACCACATTCTGCACTTTATAGTTACGCGAAATCGAAAGAGATAAGGAATTCCGGAGGCAACGCAAAGAAGCTATCAAAGCTGGAGTTATCGAAGACAGATATAGGATTGGAGATAATGAAACCGATGTAAGGTTTTTCTGAGATCAATGTTTCCTTATAACTCTTTTTTTTCAAATGAACTTCAGTGTATGTTTTCCTTGATTAGTTGCGCTTGATGCTTTAAAAATGGTTTGTTATTGGATGTACGTACGTAAAGTTTTTTTCAAGGACTCTGACAGTGACCCAGTGTCTGACGAAGATCTCGAAGAAGTTGCGGAAACGGAGATGAACTTGGTTTTGCAACGTATTCCCCCTACTTGTACCGGTAAGTTTTCTAATATCCTTTGTCTTGGCATTTCGTTTTGCACAGTACTTTCTAATGGTCTATATTGCTTTTTTTGTTTTGTTTCTCATTTTCTTTTGAAGAGTTCTGTTTTACTGCTCATGGCATATATTAAGTTATCAACCCTATGCCGGAATTACGGCCATATATGTCATGCCTAAGATCAGACGAGATGAAGGAAAAAGGTGATGATGACGATGAGGAGGAGGTACTTGTTTCCATCGCTCCGAAAACTTTGTTTTGAATATCGATATAATATTAAAGGAAAGCGACAAGAAAGAAAATGGAGACGGCACGGCTTTGGGAAGGACAAGAAACGCGGGTGGTGGAGGGGAGGAGGGTGAAAGTCAAGGGCAGGTAATAATTTTTCGTTTCTTTTCATTCAAATCTGAAACTTTAGTTGACTACCTTGGTTCTTGAGATGATAAAATAACCCATTTAGTTTTTGAGATGATAAAATGACCAAGTCGCCTGTATTTAAGGCAGTAGTAGAGATACTTTCCGTTTTTTTCAGACGTACGATAATCCATACTTGCGCATAGCTCAGCTACAAAGAAAAGAGTTGAAGTTTTTGCGTGAAAATTTGGAGTCCACGCCTTGATTTGTATTGATCATATATGTAAAGCTGTACATAGAAATTGTTATGTGGCCTGAGGCTTTTTCGATGTAAAGTTTGTCAAAGAGCTTTCATTTATGTAATATCTTTTCATAATAAATAGAATAATCTACTGGCAATTACTCAACACAATGAACCTGTCCATATATTGACTTCAGAATTCATTCTTATGGTTAGGGACAACTGGTTTGCCTAACACAACGAGTTTGGTTGTGATATGTGTACAGCAGTGCCTCTATGACTGGTACTAATCCCTTTTTCGACGATTAACTCCAGACAGAACCAGAATCAATAATGAACGTACTGGAAGGGGTGTCCAGAATAGGTATAAGCACATGGATCTTGCGTGTTGGAAAGAATAACTTAGTAGGAACCAGATGTTCTATGGACATCTGGTGCCATCGTATGAACTTTTGGGAAATTTTTGAGCCATGATTGTGGCTAGGCCCTTCAGACTCAGCAGCTGACCATCTCTGTCAGGGTAGCGTATTCCTTATAACTGTTACTTACAAAGTGTGGAACACGCCACTCAGAAACTTTATTATTACATCATACACAATAAATACTTTACAAACGCTGTATACAGAAAAATAAAAAGAAATTCTGTTGACATCATTTAATTGGGATAAGATTCAGAATGTATTAAGCGTAGATTCGTAATCTTTCGTATGCTGAAGCCCGTGATGCTGCTATTTGTTAGCAGCAGGAGCCTCTTCTGCCTGTTTCACGTCACTGGATGGGTTAGTAATGCTCCCTTGACTCCTTCCAGTGGATGGAGGTTGAGTACCTTCAGGAGGTAAGCTGACTGATCGCATTGATGGTGTCATCTCTTTTGGTTTCTTTTTCGCACAGTACATATACGCAGATAGTACGGTAGTCGCCATCAGACTCATGGCTATTGCTAGCATAATCCTGAAAAACATGGAATAAAACAGTTACAGTTAGAATGCAATAGAAAAGTGCAATGATCTGGGGTTTGTTCCTTCATCAAACCGTTAATTTTGTCGCCTAACAGAACGAACAATTTTGCGTCCCTGCTCGCAAACTTGTCACGTATTGAGGACATCTGTTCAAATGNCATTTGAACAGATGTCCTCAATACGTGACAAGTTTGCGAGCAGGGACGCAGACCGTCACGCTTCTACACGAATGAAAACGAGCATTGGATGAGGGCTCCCTGAATCAATATTCTTTCTCAATAACAATTTTATATCTTCCCAAATAACCACAGAGCGTGGATAAAAGGGTTCCAAAGGCAACAGGTGCTAAATCTGCGAGACCATTTTCAACCCAGATCTTCTAAACCTTTTCCCTTTGTGTTAAATCGTTGGGACTACCAAAATGACACCCCAGTCGCTTAACATCGATGAGGTCCTGCAAGGAAAGTAATTATTTTAATAAAGATTCCAATCAAGCTAATGAAATGGTCATTTCCTGTAGTTACAGCTGAAGAGATAGAAAGAGTGTAGGGAGCCAATAGTAAACTAATCACAGAAATAAAGGCAAAGTAAATAAACACAAAAGCATCGGGTCAACTATATCAGAAACTTTTGAGAAAAGGCAATTCATAGCAAAACTCCTGAGACACCTCTGTAGTCACCCCTTTCCCTTTCCCCTTCCTTTTCAATGTGTTGGCCAAGAAATCAATCGAATACCAGTACTTTGCCCTTTGATATCACATGTTGCACTAGTAATGGGTTGTAATAGTAGATAAATTTAGAGAATAGCTCATAGTGAATACTTTGAAGTACAGTTCCGGAATAGGAGTGACGTGATGTTGATACTTAACCAGAGTAAAACATTAGAACTAGAAAGTTTCTTCACAAAATCCAATTGCCTCCCTCTCTTTCTCCATCTGGCTATAAAAATTTAGATGGAACAGCAACGAGAGCCTTTGTAAAACTTCAGATCCGGAAAGAATGATCGAAAGGGAAGCAGACGACGTACCGAGCGCAGAACGCCTTCCAATTATTGCGAGTGATTGGAAACTTCACTTGCACAGAATGAATAACACCTGAGAATAGCAGAATGTCGATTACTATGATGGAATTCGTAAATATTTATCGCAACGATACTATCGATGAAGATTGGTCTCGTTGCTAAACAGCATGTATTACCATCGTGGGGGTTGCCCTGACCTTTCCCTACCTTGGTATGTGAAACACGTGAAAATGATACCCCAGGTGAAGGCTACACGTGGGAAAGGGTCGTCATTCCTGCTTGGTCAGTTCGACCACATTCCGATACCTGCCCGGTGCGACCTTTCGTGACGGAGGATCTTCCTCCTTCTGTAAAAAAATAAGAAATTATTTGGAGACTTATGTATTTTGTAGCGATTTTTTGAAAAAAATTGAATCGAGTGGCATCTCAAAAAGAAAAAAGCCTACTTTGAAAGGAACCTTTGAAAGTCTCCCAAATATTGGTCTGATGAGAACTCGAGAACGAGGTTCGAACTAAAGTTCAGAGTTTCGAAGACGTCTTGTCAGAGCCTCTTTTACGAACCAGTCTCATGCAGACGGTTAGGCTTGCCCAAGACATGAGAGCTACCAGAGAGATCTTCTCACTGACCATAGGATCACCCTATCCTTCTGTCGGTGATAACCCATTTGTTATCTTAAGCAAACGGGATTGCTTCCAAACTCTCACAGAAGGGAGCATCACAACTATTTTCTACCTCATGTTGAGCGGCTGCTATGTGGTGAGCGTGCAGTTTCCATTTCTTTCAGGATACCGTAGAAGGACTGAATGAAGCTGCCCAGTACAGAAAGCAGCTTAGTCGTTCTACACGTCCTAAGCTTCAATACGGTGGAGAGTGAGGGCTCCTTTAGGCCCACGTTACTTCATTCCACGATATATAAAAGTTAGGATGAGCATTCCGTAATGGTAAAGTTTCTATCGCAGGTGCGCCATTGTGTCAACTACCTATGTGATTTGTCTCATTCTCACAGTTTACACATACACAGCTGCTTGTTTACGGAAAAAAGCCGCGAGGAGACCGGTACGTTGTGATGCTCAGATATTACATCAAAGCCATAGGGGGAATCTGAACGACAGTCTCAATAGAAATGTCTAGAACTATACAAGATACAGTCCTCCACTGCCTCGCCCATTATAGACGGAAGACCTATAGGTCAGGATGAACGAGCACAGGTAGAGGGTAGGAATCATAGTCATGGAAATCCCATACAGCTTAGGTGAATGTTGTTATTTCTTCCCTGTGGTACTCCTTCTGTTTTGACGTTGCTATGAAAACTCTTTCGGAGCACGGAAAATGATTTGAGAGGGTTGTCGTCATGCCGCAGACCGAGCTGTTGATACGAGATATTAATCAGTCATATGACAGTACGGATAGATCGATTGTACTGAACCCTCCGCGAAACACTGCTTGCTCGTGTGGCTGATTCTGACAATCCTGTTGAGCAGGACGTGGGCGAAACGTTCATATGTTGGTTACAGACAGAAGGCAGATCAATGATGATGGGGCGGTAATTGGCAACATCGTCGGGATTCCATTCTTGTACAGCAACGGAGTCTTGCTCCGTTTCCATTACGTGGGCACTTTTCGACGGGTACTGCGTGAACAGCCTAGCTACGGTTCTGACGATAGCTGATGCAAAGCTCTTCAGATGTTCTAGTTTGATCCTATCGGAACCGGGTGCCCTACAATACTTCATCATCGTGATGGTATGTCGACTCAGGAAGGGAGAACTGAAGGTTCGACGGATTTATTGTGCCTGAAATGGTAGGTAGGCAGGCAGACATGGCTGTTGGAGACGTCAGAATGGAAGAGCACTGGAGGCCTTCTTCATTGGTCTTGGAGATGTAATGACTGTTCAGTCAAGAATCCAGAGGCCTACCAGTTGATCTGATGTTGAACGGAACTTACACAAATACTTTGAATTCATCTCTCGATCTGCTCCCAGCCAATGCACTAGGTATCACTCTACCAAATTCCCCCTGGTTGGAGTTCCCCCGCCATGCAAAACTGCCTATATCAAATCGAGTGGGCGGAGGTGGCGTAGTGGCAAGTTGCGCACTACCACATACGCCGTAGACACGGGTTCGAATCCCAGATCGACATCAGCCTAGGCCAAGAAAGCCTCCCGTCCCTCCCAGATGCGGTTATTTATCACCAGACTCGCCTGGGAGTACAAAAATACTGACTGTACATTGGCTGGCAAGTCATTGTATAAGCCACGTGTGCTTTCAAAGGGTCGCTACGATTCTGAATAGAAATCGAATCCGAAAGGACGGCTCGCACAGACGGAACAGATTGACCCCAAAAAACTTTATCCTTCATGTCAATTTGACTTTATTACAAATTGGAATTTATTACATTTAGTGCTAATCTTGATATTGAATGCTACATCGTTTTCAGCATGCTGGGACATCAGGATTGACGATTACTTCAAATACTACTCAGACTAGGGTATGGCTAAATGACTTCGCCTTTAACGCAGAAATCCTCAACCAAATTCGTACGTATTCAGCTACAGGATAGCGGATTTAAAAAAGCAAGCGTTGTTACGGCTCAACGGCTTGATCCGGTTAGTCGGTTTTTTTTCTCTCTCTCTTTTAAGAAAATACGGATTCTGGTATTCTGAATTCGGGCTCCCATCCGAAGATTCAAATCACTCCTCATAATATCAAAGCAGGCATCCATACTCTTGAATGGGTATCGGCTTTGTTAGTGCAATCTCGATGCCCTCTACTCATAACCATCTGCAAAACAAGCATTCCGAAGCCTATGAGTAGGCCACCATCGAAAAATCGGTTCAGCTCTCGGATCTACCCGTGATAAAATAATGTTCAGCCTCCTTTGCCACCAACACAACTTGCAGAAAAGCCGCCACGAAGTCAAGTACAAGCTAATTCTGCTATGAATCCCGTAATTCATTTTCACTATATATCATTTAGTGCTTTAAATTTTGTGGCGCCAATCTTAGCAGTCAAATCGTAGGTGTTAACTGCGTTCACACTTCAGATCGCTCTCTAATAGTAAGAACGGTTATCGATTAGTAGCGTGGATACCAACGAGGTCTCCCATTACTCGGGGTCGGCTGATTGACACCTGGAAGGATAAAGCGGTGGCTTGTACATCGGCTGGCCTTCGCAAGTCATTGTATAAGCTACATAGGCATTTGAAAGCCCTTACAATCTTGAGCGAAAGCCGATGCAGGGCGCATCCCAGAACGAGAATGATTGGCGCTCAAGTTTCGTATTCTTTGAAGTGTGGAGCACTCTGAAATGTGAAAGCAGCTCCAGGCAGTTCTGAAGCACACATTTTTCATTTGGAGACGTTGTTTGAAGGCCAAGGATGATTCTTGGCTATTAGAAGCGTGACCTTCACAAAAACACGACCAAATTCGCTATTTATAGATGTCTGTTACACTTCCACAAGATCAACAGATGGGAGAGGGCTGTGACGATTACTTAAATAAGCTAGGAGAAGCAAGCGCTCATGAAAATCCGCGAAGTACTCAGAGAACTCGAGTAAGCGAAACTTTCAACTGTAGAAAAACACCATATCACATGCTCAGGAGAACTGACAAAGGAGTATTTGCCAACTTGGCAACTCTACTGCTGCTTCTTTACAAACAAGGGAAGAAGGTCCTTGGTACGGCTTTAAGGCAGCCTTCTCCTGTTCCCCCCCCCCCCCCCCCCCCCCTCCAATCTCCCCTCTTTCTATGATCCTCTCAACGGTTTAATAACCTTTTCCCCCGACTAGACAGTTTCAAGAAGAAGCAAGAAAACTTTTTGCGAGCGAAATAGGGGGATAGGGGTGAATGTCAGTAAGGATAAATCCTACCATGCCCAGTTCCTAGACTGAGCAAGAAGGACTCCCCTTCTCGTTCAGTCTCTTGAGAGCCTGCGACATAAACTCATTGTAGAATCTGCAATCTGTCATACACGAAATCATTTTACAACATGAAAAAATGCTTTAATTCTGTTTAGACCGAAAGACCTGACTTACCACCTGGGTTAATGAAGACTGCAAGGGACAAGAACAAAAGGAGTAGAGTTCAGAGCGAGCAAAAGTGTAATACCATGGAAGGGGTACCGGTATGTGATCTGATCATCAACAATCTCAAAAAAAGTTCTTTCTCAGCGTCAAGAAGGGCTACACATGGTTATCTGAGTACTTTCCTAATTGAGATCACACCAGAATCGTTTTCAGACTATTAAGTGATGAAGAAATCACATGAAAATAATGAATATCGATCAACAAACATCGTTTTACATAAAGTTTCAACGGTGCTCATGCATTGTAAAGACTATTTTCTTGTAGCACTACTAAGTCATATTACTCGAATCATTGTTTCTTATTGTATAATGTGGAAAAACTTATAAATATGTCAATTATGGTGTGCTAGCTGTATGGGTTCTAGTTATAAAATGAAAAAGGACTTGAAAAGTGAAATCGTCCAACATATTCAGAAGGCAAGGTCGCAGAATTGACGTCCTTTACGTCGGGTCGTTTGCCAGCCAAGGATAGCCAGCCCGGCGAGACAACTAACTAAGGCATGAGGTTCCCGAGCTAACTAGTTAAGAGTCGTCGCTGACTGTAAACTATCGGAAATTCTGCTCCAAATAGGGTGATGTAGGCTTCCTGGGTTGGACGGATCGTGTCTATTCTGTAGAAACCAGCTTCTGACCCGAACAAGAACAAGCATTACAAGAAGACGCCCTTTCAACGTTGTGTTCATAAAAGGAGCACATCTATGTTACTGTGTCAACACGAGTCACATGTGACGGTCATTCGAACTGTTTATCATAGGTTTATCAATTTGTACATTATCGGCTGAATACAGCTTCAATGTGAAGAGTGTANGACCCGAACAAGAACAAGCATTACAAGAAGACGCCCTTTCAACGTTGTGTTCATAAAAGGAGCACATCTATGTTACTACCTCAAACAACACGAGTCACATGTGACGGTCATTCGAACTGTTTATCATAGGTTTATCAATTTGTACATTATCGGCTGAATACAGCTTCAATGTGAAGAGTGTAGTGTCGGAGTTCATTCCCTTTTCCTTGCCTGGAAGACGAATTCCAGCCTAATCTACTAGCAATAGTAAGAAATGGAAGGGATCTAGTTTATGCCAGTGGGACAAGTTTCCGAACTCTGCGTATGCAGTGGGAAAATGATATTAGCGGTAAGTTCCTAATGTGAGCCCGAGTGTTTGGTTACACGGGTTGACTTGAATCTAGGGAAACTAGACCTACCAGTTTAACATCAGGCTCACTACCCCTAAGAGCAGAACTAGTCCATAAAGCAGAAGAAAGAAAAAGCTCAGTGGTCGGCTCTGTCACTCGGGACGATTTAGCTAATTCTTTGCATTACTGTCTGAGATCAACGGAATCGAATATTATCAACACTTCATTCACTGGAACAAGAAATTAAAATAAGTAACTGTTGATCCATTAGTAACAGCGAAGAGAAAGAAACGATCTAGTCTAATTTTACTTCTATTTCTAGGGACCTTTATCAAAAAAAATATTTGTAGCTCATTTTTCTTTGTTGTCATCCACCAGCAGGAATAGCTTCTGCCAAAAAGCTGTGAAATGATCTGAAATCTCTATGATATGTCTACGAGTTCCGATTCATTCGTCAGTGAGAATCTACAGTTAGTCTATGCTCATATCAGTTCTCCAGGGGATAACAAAAGAATGTGAATTGTCGAACTAATTGAGTCGAGCCGAAGTTGTGGGTGTGATGTTCTGTAAAGGGACTCGTGCAAGACCACTGGGAGATGCGAAGGGTACCCTAATTGGCTGATCGCTCCAAATTCACGTCGAAATAAAATCAAGCCTAAAGCGGAATGTGCCATAGAAAGGGCCACCTGTTTGTGTTCATCTGGAGATGATGGTCGCTTTCATGGAAAAAGGCAAAGGATATTGTATTGGATGGCGATTGGAAGGACTTTGACCAATTTTTTTATGACATATCCTTGTGGATGCACCCCATGTTCCCTCTTGTATCCCAGGTCAGGGCTCGACGTTTCGCTGGGTTTTCGGCTGAGGTGAGGGATCCCGTGCTGAGCGAGAATTCACGATAGTTTTCCTAACGGACTATTTCCCGCCACGCCATGCTTGACTCTCAGAGAGACCAATCGCTGTACCCAAATTATGAGTACCATAGGTACTCACAATTTGGCAGCGACTGTGCCTTTGAAGCTGTCGAGCCATCTTCTAGACTTCATCAGAAAAACTTACACATGACTCTCCTCAAAGGTCTTGGTAGTCCGATGCAAACGAATATCACATAGATGGGAACGGCTGAGAAAAGTATCAATATACCGAAAACTGAAAACAACATTTCGAACTAAAACAATAGACTAACTTCTTGTTTTTTTTGAAAAATTGGAAAAAAGCCATGTGTTTGGCCATACGCAAAAATTAACAAAAGCATTTGAACCTGTGTCAAAGGGTGCACCAATTACGGATAGAACTATGAGTGCTCCTGTACCGATAGTGAAGATAATCGGAGCAATAATGTAGACCTGAAAAACTAACATTTGCAATGCTTCGCCAGGTATCGCACGGATCTTCCGCGCGACAAGGCGCGACACTTAAGTCGTGGTCTGACCTAATGCCATACATGGGGCAATGAACAAGGATAGCTTACTTTTACAGATCTCGGTGCATCTGGCATCGAGTAACGAAGCTTGAACAACGCCAATGTAACCACGAAAATTGCTATCCAAATTGTCACTTGACTAGCATTGATAAGAACGTAGATGTGTCCAGCTGTGAACAAATATCCGACAGCGACGAGGCACTAAAATAAAGTTCTGCTGGAATGCTGACGGAAGACGGAGAGGTAATGGCAAGCAAGTGGCGGGGGTTAGTCAATGGTTGGTATGCCTTACGTTCTACGAGTATATTTCACAGAACTAAATAGACAACCAGGGAATCTACGGTATTGCCGAGAAGAAGGGGTCGAAGAAGAAATGAGGGAGAAACACCTTTCTGAAGCACTGATGGAAGGCTACCTGACCTGATATCAAGGCAACGAACTGATAGAAAAAATACTGAGTACCAAAAAACCTACTGACAATGTGTACCTAAGTGACTTACCGTAAAAACCACAGCCGGTATAGGAGTCCTGTGTTCTTTGTTAATCATAGCCAATATCACTGGCATATGCCCTTCACGTGCACCACAGAAGAACAACCTGTGAAGGAGCCATCTTCCGTTCTGTACCACTAATGGAAAGGATTTTTTGGTGTGACTGAGGTACCTCTTAGCCCTAACCCATGCGACTCATTTCCCGATAACACAAGTAATGCAAGCAACTCAGGCTGGGCCATTATTTCTAGTTAGTTCAGATCTACTGACTCACTTAGTGGCTTAGAATTGGAAAAGAAGATGCGATAGATTAAAGAATCAATTCACTTATACGTACCTCGAGCTTGTCATGATCAAGCCGTTCGCTGATCCGACGGTAGAAATGGCGACGATAATCGGCATCAAAAATGCCAACTTCCCGAACTCCTTCTCAGCAAACAACTGGAATGAAGTCTCTAATGAGGGCAGTTGGGATCATAACCGGAGACTTGGTGGAATCTCAATACCAGAAGAATACTGAAATAGAAAACCTACGCCTGCTACTGCTGGACTTATAAGCATCTCATCGGGCGAAAGAACGACATACAGAGCACAATTGTAGAGAACGTATACCAATGTGACAATGATCATTGAAATCATTACTGCCAGTGGAAGGTTCCTGAACCAGAGTAGAAGATGATTCCAGGAAGACATAAGTGGGTTGATGTCAAGATGGAGGATGATCACAGCGATTGGCAAATTCTAGCTAGCTGTCTCGCCTTGTGGGAGTGGGGACATGCTTTTTGAGACTCCCAGCGGTCGGTAACTCCGGAAATGAGTGGAAGAAATGTGACGGAATTTCCTCCGAAGCTGACCTTCTTGGATTTATAAGTTCTTCTGTAACAAAGTTCAAATATGTCCATCCTTGATAGGCGTATAGTCCAGAGAAGAATGCCACAGCTGGTTGCGAGATATCGCGAGATGTGCCTTCGAAAATGTTATCGAAGGAATCTCGATATTTTGACCCACCTAAATCACAGCACTTTCACGTTCTTTGGAATCACTAGAAAATGTGGTTCTGTTTTTAACAGTCCGGGTGGTTCAATACTGATTCTCAGCAGAGCTCGAGAATGACGTGAATGTAGAAGATGAGAAGCTGCAGGGAAACCACCGACCCAGAAGAGAACCGAATGGTGATTCAAGGTCATCGAAGACTATTGTTAAGGTGCTGAGCTGTGAGACAGTTTGGAATGGGCGAAGACATTCGGGCTATGGAAACGTGCCACCTAAAATCGGTCACTGAAGAGTGAGGTAAGTGTAGAAGAAGTGGTGCTACAGGGATACGAAGAGCTCGTCTACAGGTTCTCTACAGTGTGGTACATGCTCGAGGATTCAAAGAGAGGGAGGAGTGCTTACGAAGGGAGCAGAAAAGTCTCGTGCTTGGCATCCCCTATAATTGAGAAAATCTCATTTCTACCAAAAAAGAAGCGATATCCTCCAGTCCCGATTACGGCGACGAGTGCAGCCAATTTCGCATAGGTGAACCAATCTTGAACTGACGTTGTCAAATTCACTGACCAACAGTTTATCCCACATAAAATCACTGAAATGATAAATTTCTGTTTAGATAATGCTTAAAAAGTCCTGCTGGGCCTATTCATGCGATTTCATCGGATTGATAGAGCATTTAACTCTTCCATTATTAGTTGTAAATTGATATCCTTACCAATCATCCCTAAAGCTAATAGTTCTATACTCCATTTCGGCGGGTCACAATCAGGATATATCGGTCGTAATGCGTATAATGCAAACGTCATACCAACAATAGCCAAAGCAGCTGGTCTGAAGAAAGTGGACTTAGTTTCAATTACTGAGTTGTACAGACTCGAAAACTGCTTGAAAACTGATAGTACTGCATTCTCCACCTAGCTTCGCCTCTGTGCCCACCTTGCCAAAGTAGGCCAAGGCGGCTGTGCCACGAATTTTTCAGCGAATGGCAAGAACTGGTTTTTCGGACGGCAGGTCTCTGGGGTATTCAAAAAAGATCTGAGAAAAACAAGGTACCGGGTTGATCCCTCACATGAAGGGAGCGTTATAGGGTGAGTTGTGGAAGAGCCATGGGGCCATTGCTTGCTTGCCAGCTCTTGCCATTGCGGCTTTCAATAGATACTGCGGGCCTATGTCCAGGATCTGCAGGTCCTGTAGAAAGCTCAGGGAAGCTTGCATATGGGAAAACCCTCTTCAGAATGCGACGGCTTCCTGTCAGATGATGGGAGAGCTCCAAAACTAAGAAGGGTGAAAATGTAGTTGGGGGGGGCCACCCATCCGAAGGTCAGTATATCAAGAAATGAACTCAGTCTAACGTGTTAGCC